TTAGAATGTCACTAAGTTGCTAAGGCTGGCTTTGAACTTGTAATCCTCCTTCATCAGCCTTCCAAACCTCTGGGATTACAGGTGTGTGCCACTGTTCCTGGTACCCTGTAAGTTCTTGAAATATTGCAGAATCCTCAAAGATATATTAACTTGGGTTAAATATTTTATTGTGTTTTGTTACTTAAAAGCTGGCTGTTCAATTATACTATATTTGTTATTGTTTTTAACCACAAAAACCATTAATTCTTGACTATTCCAAATAAATTTGGTGTATTAATTTCATGAATAAGCATGTTATAAAATTTGTGTTTTTATGTTCCTGTTAGTATTGCCTGATGTAACCGAGAACCTCCATAATATCAGCAAGGAGCAAATGAATGTCTCTGACCTGTGGAACATTCTGTCTACTCTGAATAGTAATTTAAAAAAAGATGAATTCCTAGATGCACTGAAATTCACAACTGTTGATGGTGGGTATTCCAAATACTAAAATTGAGATATACAAAGATATTTTTTATCTTCTGTTTTTGATAACAGCCAGTTTAAATGTCAGGTGATATATCATTGAGATTTGAATTTGCATTTCTCTGATTAGAGATTTTGAGCATTTTTTCTTGACTATAGGTCATTTGTATATCTTCTTTTGAGAAAGATCTATTTGAGCCCTTTGTTCATTATTTAAAAAGTATTGTTTTCTTGCTTTTAACTAGTTTAAGTTATCTATAGATTTTAGATATTAGCTGCTTATCTGATATGTGATTTTCAGATATTTTTCTCCCAACCAATAGGTTTTCTCCTTATTCTTATTGTTTTATTTGCCCTGAAGAAGCTTTTTAATTTTAGGCAATCCCATTTGTCAAATTTTGCTTTATTGATTGTTCTTTCGGGGTCATGGCAAATAAATTTCTATCTACACTAAATGTCATGAACCTTTCCTCCTGTTTTAATCTTGTGATTTTATGATTTCAGGTATTACTAGGGATTTTCTAGCATGGATTGAAAAAACCAATAAATATAGTTTGGAAATATAAATAAAGTTGATTATTTCTTATATAGAAAAATATTAATATCTAATTTACCACTTCTCTAAATTGACCCAATATGCTTTGAGTACCTTCAAGTTGGGAAGAATGTTATTGAAAAACAGCATATCCCAGTGAACACAGAGGGGATGATTAGATGTTATAAGATCTATTAGAATTTTATAATACTACTACTTGGAACAAACTGATAGATTCAGGGGCAGAGAGTTTGTAGTTAGAGAGATGTAGGGGCATTACTAAAAGACATAAGCAGGAAAAAATGTTGCAATAAAGACATGCTATTTTACTATAGATTATAATTCCTAAAAAAAAGCCCCAAGTGTTAAATAAGAAGCCATGATAGACAAAAGGTAGCTGTATAGTTAAACTCTATATAGGGTTGTTTTTTTTTTTGTATCAACTGGGGATACATCTTGCTCTCTGTACTTTGTTCTAGTTTGTGATCATAAACTATTTCCTTGTTTCTGTCTAGGAAAACAGAGCTGCTTCTGTCTCCTGTGTTTGTCACTTTGACTTTATAATCTCATACTTGTGTGATCTTATATAAAAATAATAGATATAACTACTTCTTAAACATTATAGTTATAGAACCACTGGGCACTCTGATAGAAGTCTTTAAACTTACCTGACATAGAATTTTTAACTTGGAACAGTTGAAGATCTAAACTATGATTGAGTTCTATCTTTTAGTTTGGACTAGGAGTATATCTTAGATTTATATTTTAAGAATATGGATTATATCTATAATTTCTCTTAATTGATAGCAATTGAAAACTTAGCTTAACTTCTATGGTTTTAAGATATAATTATTCCATGAAATTAATCTTTTGGTTACTCGAAAATATGAAAAGGAAATATGGTTCTTATGAGTA